AGTGATGAACCATTCATGGGTATCGGCCTCTTAATATTTATTTCTGTGTGTGTGTGTGAGAGAGAGGGGGGGACAAGAAGACAGACTGATGGACTGACAGGCAGACAGACTGACAGACAATGCTGTGGAGTTAGCTTTCTCCTTTCATCTTTGCATAGGTCCTAGGATCAGACCGGAGGTGCAGCGCTGAGCCATCTCACTGGCTCCATCCATATCCAAGTTTTTGACATTGCAGTATAATATCACCTGGGACACAGGCTAGCTATCCTGGGACACGTGTGGCCCATGGCTCATTTCAACCTGCCTGGATTCAGTCAATATCAATGTTTTGCTCTACTTGTTATACAATGTGTACAATGTGTCTGTGTTGCTCTGCAATACACAACCATATGTACCAGTAATTTAAAGGCTTCATACATCTCCCCCGATATTTTGATCTGTCTCACCTAAAAATAATGTTCTCCTACATAAGCAGAACATCCGAATTACACTTCAAGGAACAGTAACAGTGACTTCCTGATGCTATCTCACCATAGAGACCCGTATTTTAATTTCACCAACTATCCCTCAAGCTTCTTTATGGTGGTTTTTATTCTTTCAGTCAGGCTCCAGTCTGGTGGCATAAACCACATTTCTTATGTCTCTTAACATTTTTTTTCTTCCTGCAAAATTTGTCTACCCATTTGTAAATAACATTAGATTAAGAATCTAGGGGAATCATCTTGCAGAGCATACCACTTCTTGGGCTCGTCTGATTGCTTGCTAGGGAATGAGAAGTTAACTTTTCTGGGCCTTGTGTTCCCTTCTGGGAAGTGGCCAGGGTAGATCCACATAGTTTTTCCGCACATGCAGTCAATGTCAGGACTCCACGAACTAATGCTTGTAAAGTGCACTCAGTACAGTGCCTGGGACACAGCTCCCAGAAGCGTTGCTGTTGTCGCCATAACAACTTGCTCCCTTTGGCTGTTGTTACCACCACCATCTTTAGTCCCTGAAACTCCAAGGCATATTGACACACAGACCTTTTTGATTACTTCCTCGACCTTCTGGAATATCTTGCACTTGTCCCCCACCCCCTCCTAACTGGTGAATCTCAGCCAGACAAATCTCTTAACCCCTCCAAGAACTAGATAGAGTATAGCCTTCTCCACCTTCCTAAGGATAGCTTCTCTTTCTGCAACCACAAGGTTATAACCTCCAAATGGCTCGGGCAACAGTGAGGCACCACCCGGGGAGGAAGGGGACGCTTCGTCCTTGCTGGTGCTGTGGTGACCTTGGTGCTGGAGCTGTCTGCGCACAGCTGCTTCAGTGCTGTGGAAGGGATGCTGGGGAAAGGAGATTGGCTGGCAAGGAAAGTGAGGAATGTGCTGCCAGAACGCTGGGCTCCCAGCCAGATGCTAATTATGATGGCCTGGGGGTGCCAGTGCCCCTGTCAGCCCATGGAAGGAAGTGGGGGGGCTGGCAGGAGTGGGAGAGGTGAGAGAAACAGGAAAGGTGACAGGGTCTGACAGGTTGGAGGAACACACTTGTTCCCCCCAGGGTCCACCCTCCCTGCAGACCCATGCTGTCTGGGAGAAATTGTGGCTGTCACCATAGCAACAGCAGCAGCCGATGTGTGATGCGCAGTGTCTTTATTAGAGAACCCCGCTCAACCAAGTGCCAGCACTTTTCCATCTGAATCTCATTTCTTCAGCGCAGACGGCTTCAGATGGCACTGGTGGGGCTGGGGGTGCAGTAGATGGGATCATTCTACTGTTTTATTGAATTTCTGGGGGAAGCAGATGGAAGAGGGGCAGATTTGTATATGGCTGAGACACCATTTAAATATCCAAGCAGCCTCAGACTTCCCTTCAGTTACACACCACTGCTGAAGCAGCATTCCCATCACCTTCCAAAAGGTGCAAAGCACTGCACTTGGGGGCGAGGGGGTGGGGGTGGGGGGGATAAGTCCAGGAGACCATGAACCTGGAAGTCTAGGCGAATCCCAAGTGCTGCAAAGTCCCACCTGTGCAGCGTTGGTTTTCCTATTACGCTTCAATGTCCTCATCTGTAAAATGTGGACACTAAAATAAAAAACGTTGGCTGCTTCAGGGTTACGGTGAGAATTAACTGTACTCGTGATGAGGGTGGCGTGAAGTTCAATACGGGGCCTCCCTTAGGTGCTTGGTGTGGTTGCTACTCTTGCTTCGGCTCCTCCCCTGGGCTGCTCCTATGACTGGGGCTGCTACTATTACTGCACAACCACAACTAGCACCCCACCACTGCCTTTGCTGCCACTGTGGTAATAACGCTATCTGGCAAAGCATGACTGTGAGTCACTGGCAGCCAGTCCTTCCCCACGGAGGACAGCAGAGTGTTCAAACCCAACAGCACCTCAGTGAGAAGCCATGATCCAAGACTGGGGAGACGTAGATATGGCACACATACACGTGGTGCTTCCAGTGGCAGACAGTGGCTGACTCATCAAACTCTGGAGGAAATCTAATGGGAGGAAGACAACTATTTATTCATTATTTATTTAGAGACAAGTTCTCTCTATGTGGTCCAGGATAGCCTTAAACCCATGGTCCTCTTGCCTTAACCTCCCAAGTGCCGGCTTACAGGAGGTAACACTAAACACAGAAGTTACACACCAAGCCCAGCTGTCTACTATTGTCTTTGAAACAGGGTCTTCGGTAGGCCTTGAACTCAACATGTAGCCAAGCTTGGACTTCTGATCCTCCAGTCTACCCTCCTGTCCTGGGATTACAGATACATGTCACCTCATCTGGTTTATGTGGTGCTGGGGCTGGACCCAGGACTTTGTATATGCCACTCAGGCATTCGACAAGTTAGATTATCTGCTCTGAATAGTTTTGTCCAGAGAAAGAAAGCTTAGCCTTTAGCTAGCAACCGTAAGATTCTTTTTTTAGATGGGCCTGCAGAGCTGATCTGTGAAGTAGCCCCTTTATTTTGTCCTGTGGGTTCACCCACACGATTATTTATGTAAGGACGTTTTTACTTTAAATCGATCCCCTTTAGATTGGTTAAGTGTGGTTCTGAAGGAAACATATAGTACCATATAGTGAAGTTACTATTGGGCCATGAGAGAAAACGTGAAAGTAAAAATAATGAAACCCTGCAGGATCTTTAAGTCTGGGTGGGGTTCTCTTCATAGAGAAACAGGGAGACTGTGCTAAAAAAGGAAGCTAGCACATTGTAGAAGGTGTAAAAGCAAACTGTAATTTTCTCCACTAATCAGGACTGAAAGGCCTGGCAAGGGAGTGCTGCTTACCAAGCATTTAGTGCTGTCAGGTCTCCAGGGCTGTCTCCAGCTAAAGCCACTACTAACATGAAGGAAGAGCAAAGGATGGCCTCTCCTCGGGGGGCCTCAGTGCATCTGACTGTGGCCATGGAGACAGATGAGGGAGTGCTCCAAAGGGAGGACACAGAATTACTGACGACAGTGGAGGAGGCCTCTTGAGGCTCCTCTCAGGCCATTCTACCCAGTTTGGAGTCACAGCATCCAGGGAGGAAGCTGAGTCACAGAGGCCTTATTGACTGCACTGAGCAAATGCAATTTCCTTCCCTAAGTGCAACCTCTGAAATACACAAGATTGTTGTTGAGCTTGTAGACTGAAAGACGGGTGCAAAAGAAGTCCTCTTTTACAGTCCAGGGCTTGCTGGGTGTGAGTGTTGATACGTATCATGAGAACTCAAGACAGTCGAGGAGATGGTGGTATTGATAATGAGTCCGGTTTTAAGAATAAGAAGTTGATTTAAAAGCAAAAGAAGAAATGCACAAACAAGTAGAAAGAGCACATAGAATAACAGCCATTATGTTAGAAGCAGGCCCTTCCCACGCACCAGACATTGAATCATCACAATTCTGAGATGGGGACTTTGGAGGTTCCAAGAGCTTGCCCACATGTGACGGCTGCCTTAGTTAGGGTTTCTATTGCTATGAAGAGACATCATGACCATAGCAACTCTTGTAAAGAAAAACATTTAATTGGGGCTGGCTTACAGTTCAGAGGTTTAGTCTATTATGGTCATGGCAGGAAGTGTGGTGGCGTGCAGGAAGACATGGTACTGGAGAGGTATCTGAGAGTTCTATATCTTCACCCGCAGGCAGCAGAAAGAGAGTGAAACACACTAGGTCTGGCTTGAGCTTCTGAGACCTCAAAGCCTGCCACAGTGACACTATTCATCCAACAACACCACACATACACCAACAAAGGCCACACTCCCAATAGTGTCAGTCACTATGAGGCTATGAGGACATTCTCATTCAAACAACCACAGTAGAGTTCTCCATCCCTCTTTACCTGTCATATTGCTGTCATTCTGCAAAGTGACAGCAGCCCCTCTCACTGAAAGGGGAATCTATTTTCTCTTTTATTAGCCTTCTCTACGTGGACTGGGAATGCAGGGAAGAGATGGTGGGCTGGTTCCAAGCCTGATCTGCAAGAGACCATACATGCTTTCATCTGCTCTTTGGGAACCTGACCACCACCAAAGCCAGGCCAGCTTCTCAGAAGGAAATGCCTGTTAGAGTGAAGTCCAGTTCCAGCTGAAACCTGGGCACCCACAGAGCCCAGCCTGTATCAGCAGACGCTGTCTCCAGCCTGCAGCTGACCACAGATACATGAAAGTCCAACCCAGAGAAACCACCTCGCTGACCCACAGACTCACAAGCAATTAGGAGTCATGAAGGTTTAAGCCGTTAAGTTTTGCACTGCCTTTGGTTAGTAAAAGCGACTGAAAGATCAAGCTAAGTCAGTGAGTCAATGCTAGAGTTGGGGCTCATCCAGGCATGCCCTTCCCTCCACGCTGCTCTTTTGACACCACATGTCTCAGGGAAACTCACGAAGTTTCCAATTTATTTACAACCACGCTCATAGCTTTCCATTCAAAGAGAACTGAATGGAATAATGTCTTAAAATGTATGCTGGGGTGGGGGTAGATGGTTTAGTATGCATGTTAAAAGCCAACACAGTGCTGTGTGCTTGTAATCCTAGGGCTGGAGAGGCGAAGACAAACAGATTCCTGAAGCACATTGGTCATCCAGCTTAGCCTAATCAACAAGTCCCGGGTCCCAGTGAGAGAAGAGACTGTCTCAGAAAACAAGGTGCTAGCAGCTGAGGAGGAATACTTGAGGTTGACTTTTGGTGTTCATATGAACGCATACATGGCACTTAAACTGAAACAGATGAACACATGCACACACATAACCACACAAAAGCACTACACACACACACACACACACACACACACACACACGTGCATACCCCTACACATAAGCACTATATATACATGACACATACACTTATGTTATGTTGACTTCTCATTCCAATCAGAATGCCCTCCCTCCCTCCAAGTCTTTTCCACTAATATTACCATCTAAGCTCATGCATGATGACATCTGGTGTGGGCTTGCTCCCCTTGGCTTATTGGTACTTTTTTTGTTCACCACCCTTCCCTCATCGAACACTTTTCCTCTGATGCAAGACTCTGCCTGCTCACAAGTCTCCATCAGACATTGGTGAATAAATCCTTTTCAGGAATTCTCACAGCCTATTCTTCTGGGAGAGTTGTTGGCTGGGCACCAAGCCCATCTTCTAACAGCTCTCTGCTTTCATTTATACCTCCTTAAAGAAAGAGGTAATTCAGAAGGCCCAAGATAGCCAAACCATCAACAGTTCAAAGGAAACAGTTCTCCTTGGTCTCTTCTTGGGAGATAACCTCTTAGCACTTTGGATATCTTGCATGATATGAGTCTTAATCAACTGGAAGGGGGGCTATGTCTAGTAGCTCATGTCGTATGGCTTATGATGGGGACCCTGGACCATGCCATATATATCAGGTTCACCACTGACCCAGGGACTAAAGACTGGATAACTGATCCCAAATAGAAGCCGTGGATGCCGAGGCTTGGCTTAGCAGCCCTGGCCACAGTAATTTAAGTTTTCAGGGTCACCCATCATCCACACTGGGGAATGAAGTGCAATTACCTATGTCTTGTGCATCTCTTTGCCATGCTGGTTTTAGTATGCATCCTTCATTGTCATAAACTGTCACTCTGACTACAGTGGCTTTTCTGAGCTCTGCATGTTCTTACATCTTGCCATCAAGTTAGAAAATGTTTTGGGGACTCTCTGACCTATCTTCTCACCCTCTCCCCTCTCTTCTCACTTCCTCTGCTGGAGTAAGTGAAACTGTTCTTCTATTTGTTTTTGGTCAAATGGTTCTGACCATACTGGGATCATCTGTAATCTCACACTCTCTTCCAAGTGGCCCATTTGCAAATTTCTTCTGTCTGTGGACACGATGCTGGTGATAATGATTTGCTCCAGCATAGTCTGTATTATTGCAAAACTCTGCAATGTGAGCATGTTTGTATGAACACAGCATCCCTATGTTTGGCTTTATGCAAATGAGGTGAAGGCTCCTTAACCAATCCTCACAGCACTAGTGGCCACATAGATTCTACAGCATGGATGGTCTATAACTTTCTCCAGCAGTTGTCTGTTCTTGGCTACTGAAACTGTTTGACCTTGCTCTTATAAACCAAGACTCAACAATGGTTCCTGAGGAGAAGCCTTTAGACACATCTGTCATTATTATCTTGAGACAAATTTCTGCTGAGCGTTGGTGACACACGCCTTTAATCCCAGCACTCGGGAGGCAGAGGCAGATGGATCTCTGTGAGTTCGAGGCCAGTCTGGTCTACAAAGTGAGTTCCAGGACAGCCTCCAAAGCCACAGAGAAACCCTGTCTCGAAAAAACAAAAACAAAAACAAAAAAGAGACAAAATTCTACACAAAAATTTCTCAATCAAAAAGAAATTTGGTCCCCAGATGCAACTGGGAAGGTGATGGAGACTTGAGGAGTCAGGAGGTCACTGGAGGGCAGGCCTCATGGGTTCTAGTCCTGTATGGGCTTCAGCTTCTCTGCTTCCTCACTGTTGACCGAATATAAGCTGCCTCCTCATCTACTAGCTACTCTAGCCACTGTGCCTCTGCTTCCACAAGGGACTGTTTGCTCTCACACTGCGAGCCCAGATAATGCCTCCTCCCTTGAGTGTTTCCTCCAGGTATGTCGACACAGCATAGAAAAGTAACTAATACAGTAAATAATCCAGTGACAACCCTGGAAATATCAATAGCGTCCTGTAATTTGAAGAGAAGTAGATGAGGAGAGGAACTACACAAAATGATTAATAAAAGACCCAGAGACTGATACTGGGGATCAAGCTTCAAGCTAAAGATCAGAAAAGCAAAGCAGCCAGCCATTAGCTCTTACCTCTACCTCAGGCTAAAAGGGCCGTTCTCTCCTCATTGTGGCTGGAGAATAAGTCTATCCACCAAACCTCAGACAGCAATCCTGTCTCCACCAAGCCTCAGACTGCAATCCCAGACTTCTGCCTCTTCCTTTTATACGTCTCAAATCCTGGGATTAAAGGCGTGTGATCCCAAGTGCTGAGATCACCTTTGTGTGAGCTGTTTCTCTTTAGGACTGGATCAATTTCATGTAGCTCAGTGTGGCATTGAACTAGCAGAGATCCATCTGCTTGTGCCTTGAGTCTTGAGATTAAAGGTGTGTGCCACCACAGCCTGGCTCTATGGCTAGCTAGTCTGGCTGCTGAGATTAAAGGTATCACCACTGCCTAGCTCTGCAGTTTGTGGCTAGCTTTGCTTTCTGGACCTTCAGGCAAGCTTTAATAAATCATCAATAATATTTGAATCACCACAGAACCAGATGTGGGAAGACCAGTAGCCCCTTACTCTTGTCTAGGCCCAAGAGAGAGCCAAAAGGACCTACGACTGGCACTAGTTAACTGAGAGGGTGCTTGCTATTACCATTGCCTTCCATAAAAGAGACCAGACAGAGAGCAGCTCAAAGAAAAACAGCAGCTTTTGGGGAATGTGGCCTGTGTGGAAGGCAGAGACACCCTGCTGTCCACTTCCTCACCACACCTACTAAGCAGATGGAGGGTGGAGTACCCCAAGGAAGTCTGGGAAGGGAACACCCACGACCAAGCCTACCAGGGATGGGGTTTAATGAAACTGCAGAATCTCCTGTCTGCTCTTTTTGTTCCCGATGTAAAAATGAACAAATACAGTGTACTAGCAAGCACAGTCATTTATCTTCTACTTTTGTAAGTCATTAGATATTTCCAGAAATTGACAATTCTGAAAACAGACTTAAATTTTTACTACTACTACTACTACTATTTGTTTTTTTTTTTTTTGAGACAGGGTTTCTCTATGTAGCCTTGGCTGACCTGGAACTCACTCTGTAGACCAGGCTGGCTTCAAACTCGCAGCGATCCACCTGCCTCTGCCTCCTGAGTGCTGGGATTAAAGTTTGCACTACCACTGCCTGGCCAGATTTAGATTTTCTAAAGGGATAAAAGTCAACTAAAACAAAGATTAAAATGGCATACATAAATAAATATAGGGTACAGCAAAGCAGACAGCACTTGTATCAGAATATAGAAAGTATTCTTTCTATAGGAAATGTTAGAGAGAACAAGTTGATCAAATTATGACAAATCATACTGGAAATGTTCATTAGTGAACTTGGAATTTAAAACCCCAAAAGTATCAAATTCCGATTTGATAAAGAGAAAAGAAATTCAGATTGGCTCAAAAAGGTAAAAACCAGGGCTGGTGCGGGTAGAGAGATAGTACAGGTGTAAACAACATGTCTTAGCTGTTGCAGAGGACCTGAGTTCCATTTCCAGAAACTACGGCAAGGGCTCACAGTTGCCTGTAACTCCAACTTTAAGAGATTTGTTTCGACCTCCAACAGCACCCAGCACTTGCACACACTCACACACACACATAAAATAAAATCTTTAAAACCAACAACGATAACAACAAAACCCAGGTTTGGGGACTAGAGAGAAGGCCCGGTGATTAAGAACACTCTGTTCTTGCGGAAGACCTGGGTTTGATTCCCAGCGCCAACATGATGGGTGACAATCAACTCTAACTCTAGTTCCAGGGGATATGACTCACTCTTTTGGTCTATATTGGTGCCAGGCACACACATGGAAGACAGACATACATGTAGACAAAACACACAAACACATTTGAAAACAAAAGAGTTGTTGGAGGAGCAATTATTTAAAAAACAAAAACAAAACACAAAACCAATAAAAGCTCCTGGGCTGGCTGGATGAAGGCGCCCAATACCAAGCTTGGCAATCTGAGTTCAGTCCTCGAGACTGGACCCACCTGGTACAAAGAAAGGACCCACTCCCATTTCTCTGCACATTTGCTCCCCCCAAACACACCTAAAAAATAAAAATGTAATAACTTGTTAAATGAAAACTTAGCTTTGGATGGAAAACAAAAGAATATGCCAAAGTTTTTTTTTTGATAAGACTGGGATTAAAAGTCTGAACAGGGCTATAGCAGAGAAAAGGTAACACAGACCTAGGTTGTCAATATAAGCATCAGATGAATTTGGATCCAAGACTAATGACGGCAACCAAGACAAACAGGGACACTGAGTCAGGACAAAGAGGGTGGAACTCCAGTGAAGAGGAGAGCACGGCAGCGAGGGCACGGTGTCCAGTGTCTAAAGACCAATCCCCAGCCAGTATTCAGGAAAGAAATTCAAAAGAAGGATTTGGAGGTGCTAAAGGTTTGTCTGTCTGTCTGTCTTACTTAATTACTTTGTAGCAGATCTTGTATCTTCAAACTTGCTATGTAGCCAAGGGTGACCTTTGAATTCCCTGCCTCCACCTCCCAAGTGTGGATATGACAGGTGTACACACAGTTTATGTGGTACTGAGGACGGGACCCAGGGCTTCCTGTATGCTAGGGATGTTCTCAATAAGCTGAGAACATTCCCATTGCGAATTGTATCCATTCTGAATGTGGATATTTTTAAAGGCCAACTTTGACGTTTTGTGTCAAGTACTGTAATATACAACAGAGAACAACATCTTTTATGACCTGTGGAACTTTTATAGTAATGAAGGATCTTAACAGTCTGTAAAGAAAATCTTAACAAGATCCCCAAAGTAGAAATGGTATAATTCCCTTTCTAAGCATGAGTCAAGAGAAAAGAAGTAGCAAAATGAAAGAGGAAGGGGGCTGAAGAGACGGCTCAGTGGACAAGAGCCCTTGTCGCTCTCACAGAAGACCCGTATTTGACTCCCAGAACCCACTTACATACATATGTACACATTATTAAAAATAAAAAATTTCAAAACAGATAAATCTTGAGTTGGATGATCACAAACTTATCACTCGGAACATGAACTGTAAGTACTATTCCAGAGCAAACGGGAAGACAATGCTCTGAACAACAAAATTGATAACATTTTCAAGAAAAACACAAATAATTGCCAGAATAAACACAAGACTTGATTTGTATTTGACCATTTTTAAATATGTGTGCACGAGTGTTTTGCCAGCACACATATCTGTGCGCCACACGCATGCAGTGCCCATGAAGGCCAGAAGAGGACACAGGAGTTACAGACTCCCATGTGGGTGCTGGGAACTGAATCTGGCTCATCTG